CTGGAATTGAATTGTGGGACAAGGAGAAAGAAGGAAATGGATCCCACTTCTTAGTTGCTCTGCAGATGACATATATATAGAGAGTGATCTGAACACTCTTGCAGGCAATATAAACATCATTTCCCAAAGCCTCAACAGACTTTCCTCTGTGAACCATCACAAATACCGTGACACATCCAGAGATCTGACTCACTAAGGGACTGCTTGAAAGACTCCCAGGCCTGCTTGTCATCATTTTAATTTTTCCTCTCAACCATATTAAATACGGATGTAACAATGAGCGGAAGAGAAATGAGGTCTCAAGTATTCTGGCATCTTTTCAGTATCGGAGGTCAACCACATAGCAGCAAGCCAGAATGCATTGTGAACAGACATATGGCATTTGTTTGGGAGGGAGGGCGGGTAGAGGAGTGTCCTGTATTCCAACTGCTTTCTGACGTCAGCCTGAATTTCTGTACAATTTCTTTGCATCTCATGTAAGTTCACATTCATTTTCTTTCTAAGTGGCCTATGAGAACCTTAAGAGCCAAGAAAGGAGGACTCTAAAAACCCAGTATCTTCTGACCGTGTTAGGTCCTTCATTGAGACAAAATTAAAGACAGAGTTGTATCAAGAGTGAATACTTGATGCCGTTTCTGGGCAGATGCTTGACATTGGGCGAAGCAGCTAGTAAACAAGGAATGTTCTATGGGAAGGCTGCAGCTTACAGAAGTGGGGACTGAGCTGAAGGCACTCATACTGCTTAGAGCTTTGGTGCTTCAATGTTACCTCAGTAAAACTACACCTAATTAGCTGCCCTCATGACAGACTTCCATGCTGCACTGCTAACTCTGCGTGCGTCTAGAGCTTGTGTATGTAGCCATGATGACTTGGGAGGTAAGCAAAGGACCAAGGATGACAGAAACACAGCTCAACAAGCTTACACCAAAACTAAGGGATTTTGCTAGGAATCAAGGTGGAGAAGGGGCCCGCAGTCCCTACTGACTCCCTGAACTTTTCTACTGTGATGTTCCATGTTAGTTGTGCTCTTCTTGGGTGGTGGCTCTTTTCCTGTCTGCAGATGGGCTCCCCCGCGTCCAGCCAGAACAGGCAGATTTAGTTCTTGACTTGTGTTCCCATTGCAGCATGTAAATGGAGAAAATCCTCTTTCCTTGGTGTTTATTTCAAATGCTTCCAAGAATTCTCTGATTGTTGGAGTTGGATTAGGTGCCCACAGCTGAGTCAATTGTCCTGGCCCAGTAGATGAACAGTTTAATCAGACGCTTCTAGATCTATCGACAAGAGTGCCGGGCACTGAAACTAGTGGTTGCGTAAGTCCGTGTAGGAGGGACAGACCAATGTTGGGTGCGACCATGGAGAGAATGGGGAAAGTGGTACAAGAATAGAGAACACTTGAACCTCAAATGCTGAACCATCTCCTTGGCACGCATTTCCATGCCAGCCAAATCTGTACTTTGGATTTTCATTTTATTTTATTTCATTTGTGTGTGTGTGTGTGTGTGTGTGTGTGTGTGTGTGTGAGAGAGAGAGAGAGAGAGAGAGAGAGAGAGAGAGAGAGAGAGAGAGAGAGAGTGCCATGTGTGTGGGGTGGGGAAGTACCTACATAGGCCAAAATAAGGCATCATGTCCCCTGCAGCTAGAGTTATAGGTGGTTGTGATCATCCAAACTGTGTTCTGGGAATTGAACTCGGGTCCTCAATAATAAAGAGCAACAAGTGCCCTTAACCACTGAGAAATCTCTACAGCCCCTTATATTTTACTTTTTCAGGTTACAGCTGTCATATGTGAGAGAGAAATAGCAAGGTGAATGATTGATAGGTAGATAATAGAGGATAACATCATGGGATATAGCTATATTGAAGATTATAGGTGGTTTAAATCTTTCAGAGCTGATGAACAGCAAAGACAAACCTAACTCTGTAAGTCAATCAAATGTGATCACAACCTAAAGCTTTGATGTGAACTGAACTCTAAACTAAGGAAGTATTAGACATGTAGTGTTGGCGACATAAAGAATGCCTATTTTCCTTAAAGGAAGCTACAAGAAATAGGAGGCTCTGTTGAATAAACATCAAAAGTGTCACTCACTGCAGTGGGAAGAAACTATGCATACTTACAGCCATTACTAGTCAGAAGAATTGCCCATTCTGTACACAGTATCTCCTATGTAAACTAGGAAGACATCTACTTATAAATAAATATAGTCAAAATGGAGCATTTCTCCTCAAAATGAGTTCTTGGCTCCAGTGATATATATTGTAAAAAAAATAACATAACTTATAAAGAATTATAAACACCATGGGAAATACCCTGAATTTGTCAAATATTGAGCTTACAGAGAGAGTTATGATTTTAGTCATAGCAAAGGCTCGGGGCTCAGCCTTTTCTCGCCTGTAGGACCTGAGTGTTGCCTCCTCAACTTTGGAGCCCTCTCCTTACCTGGACCTCAGACTATCTCCTAAGTTTCTAGTTTCCATGACCCCCCAGCATAGTTGGAGCCTGAGGTATTTGTTTATTTCAAGCATCAACTTTTGAGGAAATGTTCTAGGTGATGAAGCTGTACTCCCACATTCTTTTAACAAGGGCCTCACAGTTGAGACCAGCTAAAGGGAAGCTTGGATCCTCTGATAAACAGAAAAGCCACCACCAGAGGTACTTTCAGGGATGAAGACTCTAGGTCCAGGTGAATTGTCCATTATCTGTAGGCATATTGTCTATTTAAAACCCTGCAGCTAACCGGTGTTTGATTTTTCTCTTTAAAACCTGAGAACACAAAAGTTTAGCTAAAATCCCTTCACCCAGACACTTAATAACATTTTGATATTTATAATTCAAACATTTTTTCCTCTGTAAACATGATTTCATTCTCAGCAGCAATTTCACCTGATAGCCAATGTCCTGTTGATTTTTAAAAGATCACACAAAAAGTACTTTCTATTTAAATAAGCGTGTCTGCACTGTTGCCTTGAGCTGTCGTATGACTCTAATAGGAAGCGTGTCGTGAAGGTGATTTTGGTGACTTTGGGTTTTTTTTTTTGGGTTTTTTTTTTTTTTGCTGTGACTGTGTAAGCAGCTCTGCCATGGCACTCCCATAAACTCCTATGCTTATTTCCTTAGGCTCAGTGACGGGAGATAAAATTGCGGAGTCAGCATTTGCAGCATCTTTGAGGTTTACCTTGTAAGGGTAAGCTGCAGTAGGAAGGTGGAGAGGTCCACTTTCTCTTCCAGGGGTCTCACTGCTCTTTAGAAGTTCTGACTGTTCAGGGTGGGAGAGCCTATCACCATCAAGAATGCTCTCTGTAAAGACATATCTCTCCCGTGTTTCCTGTATCTGAAGGGAGACTGTATCAGGCTTTATAGAGTTGTTACAGATGAACTTTGCAATTTTTTTTTCCTTAAAAACACACGACGTAATCGATGTCCTTGTATTCCGAGGCAGCTGAGATGCAGTGAAGTGTGGCCCAACCTAAGGAATTTGAAGTGTTGGCCCAGCTTTCCCTGCCGCCCACTGAGCTTCTGGAACCTACAGCCCCTGCTAACCACTTTCAGCAAACTCAGAGTGTACAAAATCAATTCAACTCTTATTCATGTCGCCCAGCATATGGCTCAGGGAATACAGAGATGAGCACGACAGTGCTGAGAAAAACTTAATTAGAAAGGTCATTGCATTAAAACCAAGCAATGAATGTTACCTCTAACCCTTTGTGGAATAAGGCAGAATATACGTAAACCAAAATGTTATCCATATGGCAGACATGAATTTTACAGCATCTGTCCTGTGTGTTTCCTTGATTGTCACAGATAACAGAACTGGACTGAGTTACCAGCAACCCCAAGAGCAAGAGCCGGACACTCTGTGAATATGTGATTGCTCCTCCCTTTAATCCCTAGGATGCCCTTTTCCTTCTGGTCTTCACTTCGCCAACTCCTGTTCAGTCTCCAAAACGCCCCCTGAGAATCTGGTCTGGCCCCAACTCCCTTTCCCTGCCTTAGTCCACGCCACCCCCCCCCATGTCTCCACAGCACTGCTACAATGCTAAGTACTTAGGTGTCTGCTGAATATTGGTGTAGTCTAATATTGATGTAGCCTAAGCAAGGGGAGGTAGATTACATCATGCATGCTACATTCATGAGCAAGAACCTTGGGTAATACTGTTCTATCCAGGCCTGGCTCTGAGCACCTCTCAGGGTTTGGAGAAGTTCTTGTTGACCCAGTCTCTGTTATGGGAATACCGATTTTCTTATCTGCAACCGGAAGTTAGTATTTCCCAGTTCAAACAGTTGTCTGGAGAATGAACCCTGGTGAAGCACAAGAAGCATCTGGCGTGGGTGCTGTCCAGTGGGCTGGCTTGTTCTCTTCATCTCTCCTAGGGAACCAATGAGGTCTGAGGGACCATGATGGTCCCCAGCTACCTAATATATTCTCATTACATGTATGTTACAGTTTCCATGTAGAGACACTAAGTCCACAGCCTGAAGGATTTAAAAAATGAGAAAATAGTCCTTCTCTTCTAGGCTCAGAAAGAGCTTTTTAGCTTGGTGAGTGCCCTCCCACTCACTGTGGAAACAGCCTTTGTTTGTTTGAGACTACTGATGTGAAAAGCAATCAGAATGGCTGTGAGAATCTCAATAGGCAGGTTTTAAAAAGCAGCTATACATAATAAGAAATCTATGGCTGGTTCTTTGTTTTTGTTTTATCGCTTGCAGGATTTCTTAAGGATGATAGAAAAAAAATACCTCACACACCAGCTACCTCTACAAGATCATCAACTGATTTCATTTCCTCATTCCCACTCTAAGGGCTGTGTGCTGGGTTTTAGGGAACCTTACTAAGCAACATGAAAGACATTGGGTGTAACAATAGATACCCATATGAATAAAAGTCAAGGAACTTCCGTGCTTAGACTAGAAAATAATTACTGTCTCACAGCCAAACTCTCATAATGTATAAGCAGATGGGCCACAGGAAGGACCCTACTCTACAAATCAATGCACCTCACCTTGTTTGTGCGTAAACTGATGGCAGTAGAAGATTTGAGACACGATTCCTGGAATACCGTTGCCTAGAAGCATAAGAAAAGTGACAGCCAGAGCCCCCATTTGTTATACATCTTCCATTTACCAGGTGCTGTTCTCGGCAGTCCTATGGAGTAGTGTACCCCCCATTATACAGTTAAGAGAGAAAACTACTTGCCTAAATTGCTGGACAAGATTAGAGTCTGAAAATCCAATGTAGTTCTACCTAAATCTAAGCCTGTGAAGATGTCAGAAGTTAGGTCTCAGATTATTTTCAAATTATATTATTTGTCCTGCATTTCCCCTCTTATTAATACTCCCACCTTCCAAATAGCTCTCTTTTACTTTCAAGCCCATTTTCCCCTCTACTTTTTATTTTGCAAGGGGCAGGACTATCTCAGTGCACCTGTCGAGGTCAGAGTACAACTTCCAGAGTTGTTCTTTCTTTTCACTGTGTGGGTTTCCAAGGATTGAACCCAGGTCTTAGGCTTTTCCTTTCTCCCGAGTCATATCACTCATCCTAACATTTCTCTGTTTAAGTCAAATTCTGCATATGATAGACTATGTATAGTATCCTTTTTGAGCCTTGCTTATTTCGCTTAATATGGGGATCTCCAATTTTACCCATTACCCTGACAATAAGATTTTTTTGTTCTTCTTAGTAGATCAATAATACTGTATCATGTATGTAGTACATTGTTTTATCCATTCATGGGAACTTGGGTCTACTCTATGACATAGTGATTATGAACAGAGCTACATTGAAAATGGGCAAGCAGAAATATCTGTTGCATCCCGACTTTAATTCTTTTGAACATATGTCTAAGAGAGTCACAACTCAGTCACACAGTAGATTTTAGGTTTTTGAGGATGTTCCATGCTGATTTTCATAGGCACTGAACTAATTGGCATATGTATAGCAATGCATTAGGCCTCTTTTTCCACAGTCTCGCCAACGTTTGATGTCATTTGCTTTCTTGATGAGGATGGTCATTCTGACTTGGGAGATATGGAATATCAAAATCGCTTTACATTTTCATGTGTTTATCATCCATTCATTCTTCTTTTACCAATGGCTGTTCAATGTTGAATGGCTGGGTTCCTTTGTTTATGAAATTTTTGAGTTCATCATATATTCTTGTCAGATGAACAGCCGGGAAGGTTTTCTTCCACTCTGTAGGCAGTCTCTTCACTGTGGCTGTCCCCTTTTTTACTGTGCTAAAGCCTTTTGATCTCAGCAACCTTGTTTGTTAGTTAATTCCTACAGTTCTTTCTTAACTACTGGAATCCATTTCACAAAGCCCTTGCTACTGGTGCCTGTGATTCTAAGTGCCCCCCCATCCACCTTATCTTTAGCAGTTTCCAAGATTTAGGTCTTATGCTAAGGTCTTTGATGCATTTCGAATAGATTTTTGTACAGGGGGAGATGTGTACTTTTACTCCTCTACACAGGAATATCTGATTTTCCAGGCAGTACATGCTGAAGAGGCTCCCTTTCTCCAGGCCATGTTTTTGGCCCCTTTGTTGAAAATCAGGTGTCAATGGCAATATAGGTTTATTTCTAAGTCCTACCTTATTCTATGAAACTACTGCCATAAGAAGGCTGTCATTTGTATGTCTAGTTTTGTATCAGTACCATGATGTCAATGCTACCTAGCAATATTTGGGGAGCTTGCAGCGGTGGCTGCTCTCTGCAATACTGTCAGTATCTCAGAGCTCAATAGCTGAGGATGACCTTGGACTTCCATGTGTGTCTGGGGGTGAGCATGCATCATGACACATGTGAAAGTCAGGGGACAACTTGGAGTTGGTTCTCTTCTTTCATCATGAGGGTTCTGAGGATTAAACTCAAGCTACAGCCTTGGTAGCAAATGCCTTTACCTATGGACCATCCTGCCAGCTTGACTGAGTTCTGACCCCCCCTTCCCCGCCTCCTTTTTCTGGGACTTTAGGTGTGTGCACCACACCTGGTTTATGCAGTGCAGGGGGTCAAACTTAGGACTTTGCATGCTAAGTGAGCATCCTACTGTGCTTTATTCCCCAGCCGTTCTAATGATATTTTCTACTTTTTTCCAAACTTTACATGAAGCACATACGGAGCTTCCTTGAGCTCCTCCAGCATGCTATCAAATATTTCTGTTTCCTCTCCTTCCCTGTCTACTTCCGGTCCTCTTTCTGGTGGGGTACTGATAAGTTTTTGTTGCTGTTGTCAACTTGACACAAGCAAGAGTCATCTGGGAAGAGGGAGTTGCAATGAGAAAGTGCCTCCCTCAGATTGGCCAGTAGGCAAGTTTGTAGATAACTTTCTTCATTAATAACTGATATGGGAGGCTTGTCAATGCTGCCTTCAGCAGGTGGTCCTAGAACTTGTGAAAACACAGGCTGAGCAAGTCTATAAGCAGCGCTTCCCTGTGATCTCTGCTTCAGTTCCAGCCTCCTCACTCCTGCCCCCTTGAGCTTCCACTTGGCTTCCCTCAGTGACAGGCAATGACTGGGACTTGTAAGCCAAATGAACCCTTTCCTTCCCAAGCTGCTTTTGGTCCTGGTGTTCATCACAACAATAGAAAGCACATTAGGATACCTACCTAACACTGCAGGCCATGGCTAACATACTGCTTCCTCGGAGACTTTATGAGAGTTCACCACCTCTCCACATGTTGCCAACAGCTGCTGCTAAATGATCCAGGCACCTTCCTCTTCTCCATGGGAGCTGGGTCACGTGACACAGTTAGGTGGTGTGTAGTTGCCACACCCTGCATTGTGATGACAATCCAGTCATGCTGCTGTCATGAATCCCATTTCTGTTTATATGAAACAAAAACGTATTTCCCACAGTACCAGAAATTCCTGATATCAAGGAGTTATCTGATTTGGTGGCACTTAAGGGTCAGTTCTGTGGCTCATGGACATCATCATCACATGATGAAAAGAGGCCAAGCTCTTTCTAGGTCTTCATTGTAAGGATTTAAATTCCATTCATAAGGTATCCCATGCTCCCATGACTGGTGTCATCTCAAAGTTCTCACTTCCTGAAGCCATCACCTTGTGTGTCAGGATTTCAACACAGTAAATTTGGAGGGATGTGGGGACACTTTAAGTGCTTTAAGGACTAGGTCTAAATCTACAAAAATCATTGCTGTGCCTGGAAAATAGAAAAACTTAGTCATGACTTGCAGTAGTGGTGCACACCTTTAAATCCCAGCACTTGAGAGGCAGAGACAGGCAGATCTCTGTGAGTTGGAGACCACCCTGGTCTACAAGCGCTAGTTCTAGGACAGGCTCCAGAGCTACATAGGGAAACCCTGTCTCAAAAATCCAAAAAGAAAATAAAAAAGGGAAGGGAAGGGAAAGGAAAGGAAAGGAAGGGAAGGGAAGAGAAGAGAAGAGAAGAGAAGAGAAGAGAAGAGAAAAGCTGTAATAAATCAATTCATACATGAATCAATGACCAGTGGTAGTCTAGATATCCCCTATGTGGAAGGAAGTGGCCATAGGGTGGGAGGCTTGGGGAATGGTGGAGGGGGGTTGGGAGAGGGAACTGGGATTGACATGTGAAACAAGCTATTTAAAATTAAAATAATAAAAAAAGAAATTCCTTGCAATCAGAGTGATGACTCCAGCCATCCTTCCATACCAGTATTGAGACCTACCTTCTTCATACTTTCACATCTGGCCCTCCTTAAATACACATGTCATTAAGGGGGAGACCTGGAGGAATGTGTTTTATGCTATGGGAACAATAGCCTTGCCTCACCACGACCACACCTTCCACTCAAATAATGTTTGCTCTTTGATAGCTCTTTCATCTCTGGTGAAACAGGATACAACTTTCAAATATTTAATTTTAAGATTGAAGCTATAACTAGACCTAAACAAATTTCACATACATTCTTTGAGGCCAATGACCCCAGCACCCCTACACACACACATACACACACACACACACACACACACACACACACACACACACACACAGTGTCTCATAACTCCAGGACACCTCTGAGCATCTATTTGTCACTATAAGCCAAAGGCTCTAGTATGGGTTTCATCTTGCCTCTGTTTGGAGGCTTGTTAATCTTCTCAAAGTAGATGGAAATCTTACAACAAAGCAAAGAGTGTTCATTAATACTATTACAAGTGCAGTTGGTGATAGTTTTTTTTCTTTTGTTTTTCTTTAAGAATGGAGCACCAAGGCCAAACTAATTATCTGTTGGAAAAGTGGGGGGAAATCCCAAATAGTCATTTTAAGTATTTTTTTTCCCAAAGAAATAATTAAGGTGCCGTGTTGACCTGCTTTCTAACCAGAGGCTGGGATCCCTGGATACAGACTTTGTGCTATTCTTCTTAACCAGAGAGCAACTTGGGCATTTTTCCAGGCTACTCCTCAAGGATCTAGTATGTTAATTGAAAGAAAAAAACCTAGAAAAATAACTTTACAAGCAAACAGTTCATCCAATTGGAAACACATGGGAACATCTTCCAACTCTTTTTACTTCCAAAATCAGCTGCTGAAGCAAAGCAGAGAAAAAGTGCAGAATTTCCCAAAGCCAAGACAGAATTAGTTACTATTCCCAGGTAGAATACGACCAGCTGTAATTAAAGCTGCATATACTCTCATTCCCACGTGGACATTTTGGTACACATCATGAAGCTGTATGTAGAGACACACTGCCCCTCTGATTCCTAGGCCCCCCTTAATGCACCAGCAGCTGTAGTGCCCCTGATGGATGGAGCTCCTCCTTGAGGAGCTAACTCTCCCTGGGAGACATCTGAGGTGGCTTGTAGATGTGTCCTCACTGTGCTGTGACCTTGTTGATCACAATCAGAAGTGTGTGTGCAAGGCAGCACACGATGGGGAGGAGAGGATTTGGCCCCTGGAAGGCTGACCACCTCAGACTTTTTATAGCATCGATTGTCCAACGGCTTAATATCTTAGATACCTCAATTTAATCCCTTAAAAGAAGGATGGAAGCCTGAAGGAGTGAGACATCGATAAACTGATAGAGACAGACCAATGAATTTGAAATGGAAATCCCAATTCACTGGAGATGGATTTGAACTACTACAAGGAGGAACTACACAAAGAGTGATATGATGTGCATTGTTACTCAACAGATGGATTGAGCGTTCCCAAACGAATGAGCACAAACATACTAAGGGAGATTCAGAGTGTGAAATTCCCTTGAAGCCTAGGGAAGATTGGCAGGGAATGTTCCAGGCTGTGCTAGTGACCAGATCCAGGTGAGCTGAAAGGCTGGAGAAGGGAGTTTAGTTCAGTCCCTCCGTTCACACATGCACCTATGTATGCACACTCACCTGTCTGAGCACCCACAATTAGCTTCTTACTAACAATCCACACAGACTTAAGGAAGCACCTTCTTCATTAGTCTGTGACTAAGATAACCATAACCACGGTATGTTTTTCATTTGGGTACCTGCATTGTCTGCTAGAGAAGAGCAGGGTAAGTCCTCCAAGCTCACTTTGAACAATTGCAGTTATTTCAGCTGTCAGCCAGGCTTTTTACCACAGCTACTGCTAAAAGGGCCAAACTGGTCTGAATTCCTTCCCCAAAACTTCTTGCCTTCCCTGAGGATAACAAAATGCTTAAAAAGATAAGAATCTGATAGAAAAGGAAATTTTAAAGTACATCCTTCTTTAACACAAACAAAAAAATTGTTAAATTTTTTATTAGAAAGTGCCTTTGGTCCAGCCTAAGTCAGATGAGGAAGTTTTGCTATTTAGAGAGAGTAGAGCCTGCAAAGTGGTTTGGCAGGTGAAGGTGCCTACCCTACCTCCAGCCTGAGACCTGAGTTCGCTCTCCCAGATCCCAGGATGGAAGGAGACAACCGACTCCTGTGAGTTGTCCCCTGACTCACACACACACACACATACACACACACACACACACACACAAATACACACACACATGTACACAGATACACACACAAACACACATACCTATATACACACATACACAAATACACATGTACATATACACACATACACATACATAGACACACTTATACACACAAACACACACACATACACACATATACACACACAAGAACTAAGTGCTTTTAAAAAGAGAGAGATTATTAGGAAAGACTATTATTTCTGAGAAGGTATGTTATACATTCTCAACAAAATGTTTCCTCAAAACTGCAGGGAGATCAGCGGCTTCTTACCTTCATTTCCCATTGTGTGGCAAAAGATTAACATGCAGGTTAAGTCTGCATTGGGAAAGATTAAGATGGGAAACAAAAGCATGCCCCCATATAATATTTCTCTCCCATTTCTGCTTGTCTGTGCATTATTGCAGAAGGCTCTGGCTTGGGTTACAGAGATATCACAGTCCCCTTTGATCTCTAGCCACTAAGAAACCACAAAAAGAGATTCTTGGCACAACAGGGAAGACAATTTCTAGGCTATTCTGGCAAGGCCAAATGAGCACCAAGGAGAATTTGCCACTGGCAAGTCACTGACCACAGGGAAGGTTTTTTTTTTTCTGAAAAAGGACTTAATTATGGCATGTGGCATTTGATAAGCATTTTCTTGATGTTTAGTTACACCCAAGAGATTACTCTGTGCCCTTCATAAGAAGAGCAGTAGGCAGAAAAAAATGCAGAAAAGAAGAATTCTGGGCTAACAAGCCAGCAAGAGAAAGAAGCATAGGCCTCACAAGAATGAGGCCAGTAACAATGACAGTGACAGCCAGTGATGGCCCTGGCTTCTGCATTCTCAAGTCAGATTCCCATAGCTTCTGAGTTGATAGTTCACATTCATTTTGTGTGTGTGCCTTTGTGAGCAATGCAAACCAAAGATCCTTCCCTTGCCCCAAGAAACCTGTTCAAGCAGGCTGGCTAATTCTCCCCAAGTCGAGAGACTGTGCTAATTAGCTCTCTCTTCCCCATAGCCACTCCCCTTCCTCCAGCCCACTAGAAAGAGAGTATGGGTTGCGTTTTCCTCCCCCAAATGAAGGCCCAGAGGTGCTGGTCTGTATATGGCAAGAAAGATGCTATTTGTGACCTATCGTCTCCTTAGCCAGTCACCCAGACTCCCCCTCCATCCTGAACAAGGGAAGAGTATTTTCCCTGCTGCCTTTCCATTCCTCCATGGCTGCTTGCTTGACTGGCTCCTCACCATTCAGCTCTCAATATCTGTAAGAATCCCCTGCTCTGAGAAGCCACCTGGGATATCCAGTCCGAAGCAGTTCCTGCTCCTTTCTTATAGCACGTAGCCCTGATTTATGCTCCTCATAATAGAGTGACTAATCAGAAACTGTCCCTCGATTGGTTTATACGTTCTTAATCTGCCTCCTGCCTACAGAATGAAACTTCACGAGGCAAAGGGCCACCTTCTAGTCTATATCCTCAGCATCTAATACTTGGAATACAAATAGATGTTTAGTTTAACAAAAATGATGGGAGTGCTTACCATATTTACCCTGATGATTCATCTTGGTTAGTCCTAGTCCAGTACTGGGATATAGATACGATTCCCATGTAGCAAATAAAGGAACTGAAGTTCAGGGATACGGAATAGCTCCTGGAAAAGGTACAGCCCATGTAAGTCTCTTTCCAGAGCCTAACTTTGCAGCTGGCACTCACTTTCCTAGTACACTTGAATATAGGTTTTTTTTATTTGAGCTTATGTTGAAAACAATTTTAATTAAACTTAGTGTTTGTCTGCAAGACTTCTCAGAACTTCAAAACCACACAAATCAAAATACTACAT